TTTTTGGTGTGGTGCAACGCATCTATAAATTATTTTCAGGTATGATCGTAATTTTTTAACTTCATTTCAGTAGTTTTTATTACTTTTATTTTATTACTAATTAACTTTAACAATACTCTTTTTATAATTAAATATCTTTGAATTTAGGTTCAACCAAACGATGGGAGGTTCTGAAGATGTACCTTAAAGATGGTGATGGAAATGGTCTCACTCTTAAATCATGGTCAGATACACGTTGGGAAAGTCGTGTTGCTAGTGTTAGAGCTATAAGGTTTCAAGGGCCGCAGATACAACAAGCATTAGAGCACTTGACCAAATGTAGTAACGATCCTAGCACTGTGAGTGATGCAAAGTCCATATGTGAGTATGAAATGAACTTTGATTTCCTTGTTGCTATGGTAATCTGGTACGAGATACTCAACAAGGTAAACAAAGTTAGCAAAGTCCTCCAACAGAAAGATATGATCATCAGTTCAGCCATTACTCTCTTGAAAGGTCTGATTGCATATTTTAAAGATTATAGAGAAGATGGATTTGAGAAAGCCAAAGTTGAAGCTGAAAAATTGGCGATTGAATTAAATATTCAACCCCAATTTCGTGAAACACGAGTTCGTACCAAAAAGAGGTTTTTCGATGAAAATGCAATGGACGAACCGATAAAATCAGCAGAAAGTGCATTCAAGTTAACTTACTTCTTGTTTGTTGTTGATAATGCTATATCTTCACTTACTACTAGATTTGAGCAGTTTCAAAAATACGAGAATACATTTGGATTCTTGTATGACTTAAGTAAGTTGAAGGGACTTAGCGATGAGCAATTGATGAGTTGTTGTGACACGCTTGGCAATTTCTTGAAGCATGAGGACAATTGTGATATTGATGTAGTTGAGCTGTTTTCGGAACTACAGTTGCTTGGAAAATCTTTACCGGACTGCACAACAAAAGTGATTGAAGTGTTGGAGTACATAAAAGATATGCATATTTCTTTTCCAAATGCTTGGATTGCTTACAGGATTTTGTTGACCATTCCGGTGACAGTGGCTACTGCAGAAAGAAGCTTTTCAAAGTTGAAGCTTATAAAAAACTATCTACGATCAACCATGTCGGAAGATAGATTAAGTGGCTTAGCTATTTTATCGATTGAAAAAAAAGTATTAGCTACTCTTGATTGTAGTGATGTTATTACTGATTTTGCACTTCAAAAGGCAAGAAGAATAGGCCAATAGGGTGTTACATGTACAAGTTTGTGATGTATTTTGCATACATTTGTACTATTGCCTTTAAAACTTATCCTTTTGAATATTAAAAATATTATATCGTACACTTTGAATATGTTTCTTTCTATATGCTGTTTTTTTTATTCAAATACGATATGATTTTGCGACGTAAGTATTTGTCTGTCTAGCCGTCTAGGGCCTCCAAAATGCCGTAGCCGCCTCTGCTGCCGACTGCCGTCACTTGGGAGAACGATGTAATATTGAGGTAATGTGATTATCTTGAATTACTTAGGTAATAAATTGAAGTAAGGCAGGGGCGTCTTTAGCATTTTGGAGGCCCCAGACAAAAAAAATACTTAATATTAACAGACCATGAAGCTGTTTGGCAACACTGTTTTTCGGCTTATCAACCAACTTTTCACAAAACACGTAATTTTTACTTTCGCGCGCTGAATTGTGTGATAAACAAAAAAAGTAAGGTGGAGTTACTTTTCTGATTGTATTTGCTGAAGTTACTGTAGATGACCATTTTAGCTATTTTGACATATGATTTTTTTCTTTATTTTATTAATAAAATATATTTTAAAAATAATGTTTTCTTAAATCAGCAGAATCAGCCAATGCAGCCACTCCAGCCAGAACTTCATAAATTTCAACAGAATAAGCCAAAACAGCCAATTTTTGTGCTACCAAACGGGCTCGATATCATTGTAATTTCATGACAACACCTAAAATAAAAAACAACCGAGTCAACAAAAAAACCAAATTTCACAAATGAAGTCACTAGGGACAATCTCATAAATACACAAAATACATAGTTTACTACTTCAATATTTTACAAGCTACACTTCAAGTATTTATACTCTCAATATGTCAATATTAATTAATGTACCAATATATCAAATTACTTAAATTACCAACAAGGAACAACCCCCAATATGTCAATATTAAGTATTATATTAACTCAATAAGCGTTAATCATTGGTCATACCTCAGGTCCTTGTTTCTTTTAAGATGCAAACAGCCGGAGACACGCATGACCCTCATTCTATTTCCTTACAACCCTTGTTAAAAAGGTAATTAATGCTTCGTATATTCCTTCTCCGCTAACCCTTGTTAAACAATCAGAAGTTGCACATATCCAGAGAATAAGACTAATGAGATAACTAGACTCGGGCAAAGTGATAAAGAGCATAAGGCGGTGGGCAATTCAGAGGTTGTGCCGTTTGCGCTCGCCGGATGGCGTTGCCGCGTTTGTGCACCAGCGGTTCCTTATTCCTCTTAGAATGCTTTGGTTTTTCAGATGCTACGTATTAGAATTTGGGAATTGGAAGGGATTCGGACATTTGGATTAATGATTGTTTTGCGGTCTTGGGAACGGAATTGCAGATTGCTCGATTGCTCTTCCAGTGGAAGTCTTTCAATTTCTAAATCTAATTATCCATAATACTAATATTTTTAATTTTTGAGGCCCCATTGGGAAGTGAGGCCCAAGGCAAATGCCTGGGCAAACTGGCCCTATATCCGCCCCTGAAGTAAGGTTACTATTGCAATGCTCTATTATCCTTAAATCATGTACAATGTATTCTGACAATTTTTTATTTTTAAATAATTAGTTTTCTATTTATATTGTCTCAACCAAACACACCGGATAGTCTTACGTACGTTCTCTAAATAATCATTTTACCTACATAATTTTACATTTTCATAATCTCAGTATCTCACATTGCCTTCATAAAGATATCACAATGAAATGGTTGAATATACTATTTCAGTATTTCGAATAGCACCTAAGCCTGGACTCGGGCCGGCGGTTCTGGAATGGGGGGCCCGGAACCGGCCCGGGTAAACCCCGGTTCCGGTTCGGGCCGGGCCGGGCCTTTGTTATTTTTTTTTCTTTCCCTAGTTAACCCCAACCCTCCCCCCCTCACCCCCAAACCACCTCAAATGGCCCAAAATACCCAGCCCAACCCGAAAAGTAAAACAAATTGAAAAAAAAAAAAAAGGCCCGGAACCGGCCGGGCCGGTTCATGATTTGGGGGCCCCGAGCCCAGACCGGAACCCACGCGGGTCGGGCCTACCCGGACCGGTCACTGACCGGTCCACCGGGCCGGAATAGTGCCGGTTGGGGCCGGTTCCGGGTCGGGCTACCCGGCCCGAGTCCAGGCCTAATAGCACCCTTGAGGAACCATCCTACAAAAGAATAATAAGGGCCCAATAGAGTAAGAAAAAAGAACAAGGTCTTTCAAAAAAACAAGAAAAAACTACTCTGGATGTAGATTGAGGATGTTTTCTTTTGGACTGTTTTCAGTCCCAGACCAGACTAGACCAGACCAGACCAGACCAGATCAGACCAGACCAACCCAGACCAGACCAGACCAGATCAGACAAGACCACACCATATCAGACTAGACCAGACTTCCGTAGTTATAAAATACATAGAGACCAGACGTTTACCAGACCAGACCAGATCAAACCAGACCAGACCAGCAAATTTTCTTTTGGAATTCCAAAAGAAAACATCCTGAGTAGTTCAAAAAAGCCACATATAGTACTTCTAGTAGGGGAGAATAAACCATGAACCCGTTTGGTGACACATTTTCTTGGCTTATCAAGCTTATCATCCAGCTTTTTCACCAAACATGTAACTTTTGCTTTCGCGCATTGAATTATGTAATAATAAGAAAAAGTAAGGTTGAAGTTACTTTTGTGACTGTATTGGCTGAAGTTACTGTAGACGATCATTTTAGCTTTTTCTTCATATAATTTTTTATTTGATTTATTAATAACAAATATTTTAAATATGTAGTATAATTTTTCATAAATCAATAGAATCAGCCAATACAGTCACTTCATCCAGAACTTCATAAATTTCAATAGAATCAGTCAATTCAGCAAATTTTTGTGTTACCAAACAGGCTAAATATCCCATAATTACATACTTCGTACCAATCAGTACTATTGATGGCATTTTGAGAACCACATTTATAGTTAGAAAAAACTGTTTCTACACCGAAATATACACATTTTTATATAGCGGAATTTCTCTAAATAGGACTAAATAATAAAAGCAAAATTGTAACACAAGAAGCTATAAATTTAAATTTCTAAAATAGGACTAACTCATCCAATTCTGTCTCTCCCTTGTCATTCTTAATAAGATTTTATAAATAATAATATTAAACATAAAAATATAGAACTAAACATATACAAAACGTAAAAAACAATTACAGACCCCTACCACAACCTCAGTCATCTCCCATCACTGCCACCTCTAGTCGCTGGAAAAGAATACCGAGTTTAAAAAATGTCATGTTGATGACAATTTTGAAAAGAAAGTTGGAGGATGCGGGTGGCAGTGAAGCTGGTGGTGTTGGGAAGTGGAGGATGCGGTGCAGTGACCTACATATTTTTTAGAAAGAATGACCATAATATACCTGTCGGGTTGTTATATGACAAAAATAAGAGTAAATTCCGTATGGACAAAAAAGATGCTAAAAAGGAGATAAATGGACTCAAATGCCCCTGAACCCTAACAAAATCGGCGCTCAACCATTTCCAGGACCCTGTACTGCTTTCTTCTCTCCTTCGATATGAGCAACGACAGCCACACCATCAGCAACGACAAGAGAAGGATCATCACCGCCGCCCTCTCTGTCACGCCCCGGACCTACCGGACACGTCAACAACCCGCCGTACAGTACGAATAGTCAACCGCAGTCCAACTCGTCCATACTATACTAGGCGTCTTGAATACCATTCACACATAGTACATCCATAAACAATCATAACGTAAAATGTTTAATAAAGCAGCGGAAACATCATTACAAACACTCAAGCCACACGTGGCAACCACGGGCATACAAGCCCCCAAATATATATATTTGAAATAATATCCATGAGCATTATTTAATTTATTTTCAAACAGAAACAGAAGAAGCACGAACCACTTCTTCTTCTTCTTTTGACTTCTCCGAAGCAACGGGCGGTTTCAACGAGCTCTACTCTCTACCTGAAACTGTGAGGTGGCCTCCCCCGTGAAGGGGAGGTCAGTACTTGGAAGCATTTGACAAGCACAATGACAACTATACTAAGTATAATCAAAGTTTCAATTTCCAAGACCCTCAACTTAGGATGTTATTACTTTGTAATTAATTCACGTTCCTTCATGCTAGAGCTCGGCTCATAGTCATGCTAATTTGTGCTAGAGCTCGGCTCGTAGTCACACTACATTTTTGCTAGAGCTCGGCTCATAGTCATACTAATTTGTGCTAGAGCTCGGCTCATAGTCACACTACCTTTTGCTAGAGCTCGGCTCATAGTCATCCCCTACATTTTTGCTAGAGCTCGGCTCATAGTCATACTACCACGTGCTAGAGCTCGGCTCGTAGTCACGTCATCTAATCCCTAAACCACTTCTTAGTCTAGGCTCCATTCTTTTTGAGTAACCCTTGAGGTCTACTCCTAATATAACTTGACTTCATAAAGTCCACCTTAATTGTCCTTTAAAGTTACTTAGCTTCAATCTCTTGGGATTAGTTCCCAAGCACTATTGAACTAACATCCCCGACTAGTCCTTCAATACTAGTCATTTAATCTTAATAAATCAAAGCTAATTTCATAATAATTCGTACATTTCAATTTAGCTCCATATTCAAGTATAACTTGACTTAATATCAAAATATCACTTTTATTCCCCCCATGAGGTAAAAGTATATTTTTCACAATACAATTTTATAATTTGCACAACAATTGGGTCATTATAATCACAACACATAATCATACACAATTTATTCATAAATTTGTATATTATGTATTCTCTCTTATAAACAATAATATATCTCATTTAGGCATTTTTAATCATAACTAAATCATGCCAAGCACATATAGTTCATTTAGGCAATCTTATGAAATTAACCCAATAATTATAAACAATATAGTCGGTCATCCTCACCTTAAGTGAGCTTAAGCGCGTTCTACACTTCCCGGTTGAACTTTGGCGAACTTTGACCAACTCCGGCCAACTTTGACCAACTCCGGCGAAACTCCGGCGAAGCTCAAAGATACTCTAAATCAAGCTCCTAACAAGGTTTTAACATCATAAAACCTTAATCAATACGCATAACCTCTAAAAGGTTATTTTCCGGTGAACTTGTCGGTTTGGCTTCTAAATCCATTTTTGGACATAGAACCACCTTCCAACCCCTTGTTCCACATTTATCAACATGTAGAACAATCCTAGGGTTCTTCATAATTTCTCAAATAATAATGTATTCAAGAAAATAGGAGAAAAAGGTAAATGAAGTCATTACCTAGCCTTTCCTCAAGTTTTTGTACACTTTTGGAGCTTAAACTTTTTCCTAGAGCTTCCTTCTTGTTGGAGCTTTCTTCAACAATGGAGAGGGAAGGTGGAGAGTTTCTTTGCTCTTGGTGGGTGAAGGTTGGCCGCAGGAAAATGAGGGAGAGGGGTGAGGGGGTGTTCTTTTGTCTAAATGAGCAAATGAGTGTGGATGGGATCCACCTCATTTTGTTTGATTCCCATTCTCTCAAATCACACTTCCTCCCACATGCCTCCCTAGCATACCAGCCGACCAAGGCCTTGAAAAAATAGGCTAAATTCGTGGGTTGGCCCCCACCCATGTGGGAGGTCAACCCCTTTTGTCCAGAAGTGTACAATCGGTCCCGAAAGTTGTATTTTTTCGGACTGTTTTAAATATATTTTATTTTATCGGGTCAAATAAAATATATTATGTGTTCTTAATCATTATACTCCTCATAATGAATATACATTTCCCAACTTTAATTTATAGGTCTCCGAAATCCCATTTTCGGGCTTTTATCGGTTAAATTACTAGTACCGGTATTTGGCCTTTTTTGATCAACAGGTCAACTCTATATCGTCTCTTTGGACCAATGAGTTATACACCACTATATAAATATTATATTGACCAAGATGAATAAAATGTACGGTCTCGGGAACATCGGGCGGCCCCCGCTCCTGGTGTGGGCCCCACGTGCGAATTTACTATTCTCGCAAAATAATTAATAAAAATTCACAACTTCGTATTCTCATTAACCATTATACAAGGTTCAATATATTATTCACTTAAAAGTAAATACATTTGGGGACGGTGTTACAAGTTCACCCCCCCTTATTTGGGATTTCGTCCCCGAAATCCACGTGTCTAATCGAAAAGAAACGGGTATTGCTCCCTCATTGAGACCTCCGTCTCCCAGGTTTCTTCTTCGACTCGATCACTCCTCCAAAGAACCTTCACCATTGGAATCTCCTTGTTCCTCAATTTCTTCACTTGTTGCCCGACAATCTCCACCGGTTCTACTGCATATTGTAGATCTTCACGTATCTCTACCGGTGGCTTCTCAAGAATATGAGATGGATCTCTCACGTACTTCTTGAGCATCGATACGTGGAACACGTCGTGTATCTTCTCAAGTTCTGGCGTCAACTTCAGACGGTATGCCACGGCCCCTATCCTTTCAAGAATTTCAAATGGGCCAATGTATCGGGGGTTGAGTTTTCCCCTCGATATAAATCGGATGATACCCTTCCAAGGGGAAATCCTTAGGAAGACCTTATCACCGACCTCGAACTCCAATGGCCTTCGTCGTTTGTCGGCATAACTCTTCTGCCGATCTTGGGCAGCCTTGAGTCTATCCTGAATGACTTTCACCTTAGCCTTGGTGATTTCAACAAGTTCAATCCCTTCGAGCTTGGCCTCGCCAACCTCGTCCCAACACAACGGTGTCCTGCATTTCCTCCCATACAATGCCTCATATGGAGGCATGCCAATACTCGCCTGATAACTATTGTTATAGGCGAACTCTACTAGAGCCAAATGTTTGTCCCAACTCCCCTGGAACTCCAAAGCACATGCCCTAAGCATATCTTCTAAAATCTGTATCACCCTCTCGGATTGCCCATCCGTCTGTGGATGAAAAGCTGTGCTAAACTTCAGTTTAGTACCCAAAGATGCTTGAAACTTGGGCCAAAATCGAGATGTGAATCGTGGATCCCTATCCGAGACAATGGATATCGGGACTCCATGTAGTCTCACAATCTCCTCCGTGTATAGCTTTGCCAATCTCTCAAGAGGATAAGTAATGTTGATAGGCAAAAAGTGTGCACTCTTGGTGAGCCTATCAACCACTACCCATACTGCATCATAGTTGTTCACTGTTCGTGGTAGCCCCACCACGAAGTCCATGGTCACGTGCTCCCACTTCCATTCTGGAATGGTTAGTGGCTGCAAAAGCCCCGCCGGGTGCTGATGCTCTGCCTTAACTTGTTGGCAAGTAAGGCATCGACTCACGTACTCTGCGATATCCCTCTTCATACCCGACCACCAGTAACTTTCCTTCAAGTCTCGGTACATTTTAGTACCTCCTGGATGCATAGCATATGCCGAAGAGTGAGCCTCCTCCAGGATAGACTTTTGGAGCTCTTCACTCTTTGGTATGCACACACGGTCTTTAAACAATAAAAGACCGTCATCACGTACCCGAAAGTTCTCCACGGGCCCTTCGAGGATCCCCTCGCGGATCTTCTGGCATTCATCATCAGTGGCCTGACATCTACTGATCTCACTCAGCAATGTGGGCCTAACCTCGAATCTAGCAATGAGGACCCCACTCGTGGACATCTCCACTTGTGCCCTCAAAGTTCTTAGACATGTGAGTAATGTCCCCGACGTACTTTTCCTGCTTAGTGCATCGGCCACTACATTGGCTTTTCCGGGATGATAGTCGATGATCAAGTCATAATCCTTGATCAACTCCATCCATCTCCTTTGTCTCATGTTCAACTCTTTCTGAGTGAATACGTACTTCAAGCTCTTATGATCGGTAAAAATGTGACATGTCTCCCCATAGAGGTAATGTCTCCAAATCTTTAGTGCAAACACTACCGCCCCCAACTCTAGATCGTGGGTAGGGTAGTTCGCCTCGTGTTTCTTCAATTGCCTAGAAGCATAGGCAATCACCCGACCGTTTTGCATCAGTACACATCCAAGCCCTTGGATGCTAGCATCACTGTAGATATCATACCCTATCCCCTGTATAGGTAGGGCTAGTACTGGTGCTTCGGTAAGTCGTTTCTTCAGTTCAAGGAACCCTTTCTCACACTTGTCGTCCCATATGAACTTGGCTCCTTTCTTTGTGAGCTTCGTTAATGGAGACGCCAATACGGAGAATTTTTCCACAAATTTACGATAGTATCCCGCTAAGCCAAGGAAACTACGTATCTCTTTCACATTCTTGGGTCTCTCCCAATCCATAATAGCTTTAATCTTGGCGTTGTCCACGGCAACGCCCGAACCGGATATGACATGACCGAGGAAACCGATCTCTTTGAGCCAAAATTCGCATTTTGAGAACTTGGCAAAGAGTTGCTTTTCCCTTAACCGATCAAGTACAAGCCTCAAATGGTGTTCGTGCTCCTCCTCGCTCTTGGAGTATATCAAGATGTCGTCAATGAATACTATCACGAATTGATCTAAGTATTCACTAAACACACGGTTCATCAAGTCCATGAATGCCGCCGGTGCGTTGGTTAAACCAAACGACATCACAAGGAATTCGTAATGACCATATCTAGTGCGAAATGCACTCTTAGGTATGTCACTCTCCTTGATCTTCAACTGATGATACCCCGACCTCAAGTCAATCTTCGAGAACACTATTGCCCCTCGAAGTTGGTCGAACAAGTCATCAATCCTCGGTAAGGGATACCTGTTCTTGATGGTGACCTTGTTCAACTGTCGGTAGTCAATACACATTCTTAGTGTACCATCTTTCTTCTTTACGAAAAGTACGGGTGCTCCCCACGGTGAATGACTGGGTCTGATGAACCCGTTGTCCAATAGTTCTTGTAGTTGGACCTTCAACTCTTGAAGTTCGGCCGGTGCCATTCGATAAGGAGGAATCGAAATGGGTTTGGTTCCCGGCTCCACTTCGATTACAAATTCAATCTCTCTATCGGGTGGAAGCCCCGGTAGGTCCTTGGGAAAGACGTCCGGGTACTTGCACACGACTCGAACATCCTTGATGTCGACTTCTTTCTTCGTATCATCTACCACGTAAGCAAGGTATGCGTGGCACCCTTTTCTCATCATCTTCCGTGCTCTCATCACGGATATGATGCAAACATTTGATTTCCCCCGATCTCCTTCGAAACATAGCGTGTTTCCTTGCTCATCCTCGAGCTCCAACACCTTGGTGTAGCAATCTACTCGAGCATGGTGCTTCTCAAGCCAATCCATTCCTAGGATTGCATCGAACTCCAACATGCTTAGAGGTACGAAATCACAAGTCAAGGGTTGACCCGTCACTTCCACCTCACATGATGGATAGTAATGATTTCTCTCCACATCGTCCCCTAACGGTGTGGAGACTAGCAACGTTTGCGTCATAGGTGTCAATGGCACGTCAAGTCCCTCGGCGAACGCCTCACTCACAAATGAGCGTTGTGCCCCGGTATCGATGAGGATCCTCGCACACCTACCATTGATCTTTAATGTTCCTACATTTATACACCATGTAAGATACATTTTCTAATGTTTTTACACATCTTTAGGAGGTTATTAAGTCAATACTAAGGTTTGGAATCAAACGGGGGTCCAAACGTAGAAGAACGGGGTGAAAAAATCAATTTTCGGGGGTTGGGGGTCCACGCACGGCGTGCCTGGGTGGCACGCACGACCGTGCGTGCAACGAACTAACTCTGCGTGCCACTGCCGGCCAGGCACGATGCCAGGCACGGCGTGCCTACGGCCGTGCCTTGCCAAAAATACTTCGGACGCTACTGCCTTCCAGGCACGACGCCAGGCACGGCGTGCCTGCGGCCGTGCCTGGCCCAAATTTTTTTTTTTTTTTTTTTTTCTTTCCTTCGGGTGCCACTGCCTTCCAGACACGGTGCCAGGCACGGCGTGCCTACGACCGTGCCTGGCCAAAAAATCTTCCGGTTGCCACTGCCTTCCAGGCACGATGCCAGGCACGGCGTGCCTGCGAGCGTGCCTGGCCGGCAGTGGCTGTTTCCAGCTGATTTGGCCTAACTTGCCCGGTTTTGACCCCGGGGTGGCCCGCACTCAATCCCTACGACGTATATGATCAATGCAAGCCTAGAAATACATGGGAATACGTGTATTACCTGCAACGGAGTCGGGATTGGCCCGAGCATCGGCCTCGGTCATTGCGTAGACTCTAGCTTGCGTCCTTCCTTGATTCACGGACGGCGCGTTGCTGGCGCTCGCTCCCCCCTGCCCCGTACTAGCGTGGGGTGCTCCGGTCCGACTCCTACTTGCCGTAGTAGCGCCGCTTGATCCCGCCCCTCGGTTTCCACCAAGTTGAGGGCAATTTGGTTTAAGATGCCCCGTGTCTCCACATTGGTAGCACCGAGGAGGGTCACGACACTTACCGGCGTGGCTCCTGTTGCAATTTCGGCACCTGGGCGCTGTCGAGGCTTGTGAGCCCGAGTTGTGCCCGCCGAAAGCCGAGCTTCCCTTGGATGGCGGCGCCGGTGTCCTGAACGATCCTCCTCCCCCGTGGTTCCCCTTTTTGTTAGAACCTTGTGGGCCATGGCTTTCCCACTTCCTCTTCTTCGCCTCCTCGGCGTTCCTCCGTTTCCTTTCCTCCCACTCCTTCTCTCCCTTCAGGCCCTGTTCAACCACTTGACTAAACGTCATATTAGGCAATTGTGTTGCCCTCTCGCGTATGTCAAGGTCTAAGGCATCCCAGAAGTGGTTCACCATCCGGTTCTCATCACATATGTACTCCGGTATGAATTCGGCAAGCTTTCTGAACTTGTGCTCAAGTTCCTTCACCGTACATGCGCCTCCCTGTGTCAAGTTCGTATACTCCCTCCTCTTCATGTTTACCTCGAAGTCGGAGTAGTATTGGTTGAAGAACTCCTGCCGAAAGTTCTCCCATGTGACGGCTTCGCCGTATTTTCCTTTGACCCCGTCCCACCACGTGGACGCCATGCCTTCGAGCAATCTTGTTGCCACCCTCAATTTCATGATGGGTGGCAGCTGCATGTCAAGGGCCGCCTCGTTGAATCTTTTGATCCATTCGGCTGCAACGGAGATGTCTCCCGTTCCATCAAACGGTTTACATCCCAAATCTCGTGCTTCTTTGATAAATTTGGAGATCCTTATGGTTGGACCTCCCACATCTTGGCCTCCATGTGGTTCAACATGGACTCTAGAAGCACCTTGGCTTCCTCCTCTCGAAGCCATGCCCGAAGGTTGCCCCGTTCGGCGCCTTCGGCGTTGTCTCCTCTCTTCGCGCTCCCGGTGGTATTGTTGGAGCAGCGCCTCGATCCTCCCAAGAGTGCCATCGTCTTCACTCTCTTCACTCACATCGTCATCTTCCCCATCATATGGGGTTTCCACCGGCTCGGTTTCCGGCCTATAGGTTGAGTCCTCATAGGACCAATAAGTCTCACTCTCGGTGTCCACGTGGCCATCGCTCACGGTTTGTTGTTGGCCTCCACGGCCCCTTCCCCTGGACACCCTAGTGGACCCCCGGCTGCCGCGTTCGGACCCACCCGGTACACGGCCCGTCGGGTTCCTCCTAGTGATCCTTCCAATTGGCTCCATTTCTGAAAGAAGTTTAGAATGGGCCGTTAGACTCGTATCAAATGTCAAGTGACGGATAGGTACTTAAGGACATCTCTTGGCTCAAATCACCGCCATGCCAATTGTTAAGGGTACCATCTTAACAATTAGAGACTTTGCAACTCAAGTACCAAAAGTTCTATAAGTACAAAACTTTATGCTCATGGTTTTCAAATTCTTTTTCAAAAGGAATTTTGAAGCTTCATTATGAAGTTTACGGACTAAGGCTCTGATACCAATTAAATTGTCACGCCCCGGACCTACCGGACACGTCAACAACCCGCCGTACAGTACGAATAGTCAACCGCAGTCCAACTCGTCCATACTATACTAGGCGTCTTGAATACCATTCACACATAGTACATCCATAAACAATCATAACGTAAAATGTTTAATAAAGCAGCGGAAACATCATTACAAACACTCAAGCCACACGTGGCAACCACGGGCATACAAGCCCCCAAATATATATATTTGAAATAATATCCATGAGCATTATTTAATTTATTTTCAAACAGAAACAGAAGAAGCACGAACCACTTCTTCTTCTTCTTTTGACTTCTCCGAAGCAACGGGCGGTTTCAACGAGCTCTACTCTCTACCTGAAACTGTGAGGTGGCCTCCCCCGTGAAGGGGAGGTCAGTACTTGGAAGCATTTGACAAGCACAATGACAACTATACTAAGTATAATCAAAGTTTCAATTTCCAAGACCCTCAACTTAGGATGTTATTACTTTGTAATTAATTCACGTTCCTTCATGCTAGAGCTCGGCTCATAGTCATGCTAATTTGTGCTAGAGCTCGGCTCGTAGTCACACTACATTTTTGCTAGAGCTCGGCTCATAGTCATACTAATTTGTGCTAGAGCTCGGCTCATAGTCACACTACCTTTTGCTAGAGCTCGGCTCATAGTCATCCCCTACATTTTTGCTAGAGCTCGGCTCATAGTCATACTACCACGTGCTAGAGCTCGGCTCGTAGTCACGTCATCTAATCCCTAAACCACTTCTTAGTCTAGGCTCCATTCTTTTTGAGTAACCCTTGAGGTCTACTCCTAATATAACTTGACTTCATAAAGTCCACCTTAATTGTCCTTTAAAGTTACTTAGCTTCAATCTCTTGGGATTAGTTCCCAAGCACTATTGAACTAACATCCCCGACTAGTCCTTCAATACTAGTCATTTAATCTTAATAAATCAAAGCTAATTTCATAATAATTCGTACATTTCAATTTAGCTCCATATTCAAGTATAACTTGACTTAATATCAAAATATCACTTTTATTCCCCCCATGAGGTAAAAGTATATTTTTCACAATACAATTTTATAATTTGCACAACAATTGGGTCATTATAATCACAACACATAATCATACACAATTTATTCATAAATTTGTATATTATGTATTCTCTCTTATAAACAATAATATATCTCATTTAGGCATTTTTAATCATAACTAAATCATGCCAAGCACATATAGTTCATTTAGGCAATCTTATGAAATTAACCCAATAATTATAAACAATATAGTCGGTCATCCTCACCTTAAGTGAGCTTAAGCGCGTTCTACACTTCCCGGTTGAACTTTGGCGAACTTTGACCAACTCCGGCCAACTTTGACCAACTCCGGCGAAACTCCGGCGAAGCTCAAAGATACTCTAAATCAAGCTCCTAACAAGGTTTTAACATCATAAAACCTTAATCAATACGCATAACCTCTAAAAGGTTATTTTCCGGTGAACTTGTCGGTTTGGCTTCTAAATCCATTTTTGGACATAGAACCACCTTCCAACCCCTTGTTCCACATTTATCAACATGTAGAACAATCCTAGGGTTCTTCATAATTTCTCAAATAATAATGTATTCAAGAAAATAGGAGAAAAAGGTAAATGAAGTCATTACCTAGCCTTTCCTCAAGTTTTTGTACACTTTTGGAGCTTAAACTTTTTCCTAGAGCTTCCTTCTTGTTGGAGCTTTCTTCAACAATGGAGAGGGAAGGTGGAGAGTTTCTTTGCTCTTGGTGGGTGAAGGTTGGCCGCAGGAAAATGAGGGAGAGGGGTGAGGGGGTGTTCTTTTGTCTAAATGAGCAAATGAGTGTGGATGGGATCCACCTCATTTTGTTTGATTCCCATTCTCTCAAATCACACTTCCTCCCACATGCCTCCCTAGCATACCAGCCGACCAAGGCCTTGAAAAAATAGGCTAAATTCGTGGGTTGGCCCCCACCCATGTGGGAGGTCAACCCCTTTTGTCCAGAAGTGTACAATCGGTCCCGAAAGTTGTATTTTTTCGGACTGTTTTAAATATATTTTATTTTATCGGGTCAAATAAAATATATTATGTGTTCTTAATCATTATACTCCTCATAATGAATATACATTTCCCAACTTTAATTTATAGGTCTCCGAAATCCCATTTTCGGGCTTTTATCGGTTAAATTACTAGTACCGGTATTTGGCCTTTTTTGATCAACAGGTCAACTCTATATCGTCTCTTTGGACCAATGAGTTATACACCACTATATAAATATTATATTGACCAAGATGAATAAAATGTACGGTCTCGGGAACATCGGGCGGCCCCCGCTCCCGGTGTGGGCCCCACGTGCGAATTTACTATTCTCGCAAAATAATTAATAAAAATTCACAACTTCGTATTCTCATTAACCATTATACAAGGTTCAATATATTATTCACTTAAAAGTAAATACATTTGGGGACGGTGTTACACTCTCCTTCCTGTCTCTGTTGCCCTAGTCGTCGACCTCGCCCGGCCATGCCTTCGCTGTCACTGTCACCCTACTGCACCTTCGTCGTTCTATTTCATCTTCTCTTACGTTTCTTCTCTTCTGTTCGTACGATTGTGGATGATTGAACAAGGTGGCTTGGGCTTCGCTGCGTCGTCTGCACTCCAGATCTGATCTATCCGGTTAGGGTTATGGCTATGGTCTATTTGTAATGGGCGGCGGCGAGGCTAGAAGGCCGGTGGCGGGAGAAGAGGTGCGGAAATTGTGGCGGCGGGGGAGGGATTGGATGGGGTGAGGCAGGAGGGAAGGGGATGGATGAGGCATATGGCTGGGGCTGGGGTGACACAGGGGACGAGGTGGGTGAGGCAGGAGGTTGGGTGATGAAGGGGAGGGGGCTGGGGAGGTGGCTAGTTGCTAGGGAGGTGGCTGGTTGATAGGGACTCGGTTGGGAGAATCAAGTTGGGTGGGGCACTGACCACCGTCGGTGGCTGCTTCCGATTGGCGGCAGGGCTAATTGGGTATGGCAGGCGGTGGTCACTGGACAGGGCAGTGTTGGTCACTAAACTCTGGTGGACGTTGGTCAAGCTATGATGGACGTTGGTCACTGGACAGACGGGTTTGATCACTGAATGGGCGGGCGTTAGCCACTGGATGGGCGGATGTTGATCATTGGACAGGCGGATGTTAGTCACTGGGTAGGAGTCACTATATGAATTGGTCACTGCACGGGAATCACTATAAAAATTGATCACCGAGCGGATGTCACTTTGTCAATTGGTCACTGGAGAAAAGTCACTACACATTTGGTCACTGTGATGCGGGTCATTGGTGTGAGGTATTAATTTTTGGTCACTGGATGAATTATGTAACTATGTCATTGGTAACTGTAACATTGGTCACTGCACATTTGGTCACTGTGACGGGTTACTGTAGCAGGCCAGTGGGTTTGGGCTTAGTAAGGGTGTAACAATCCCTTAAGTATTATTTAGTCTTATTTTTGGAACTTAAAAGAAAAGTCTCTTTTTTGTCCAAATGCTTTTAATTAGTATTATTTGAGGACAAACCCCTATTTTTTAATATTTTTTAGGTATTGTATTTTATTTTTTAGACTTTTTAAACTTTTTATAAATATTTATTTTTAGTTTATTTTTATTTTATTTTTCCCATTTTTATTATTAATTTATAAATATTTTTATTATTTTTTATATTTTTATTATAACTAAAAGTATGATTTTCTTATTAATAAAATAAATCTATTAAAAATTAGGGGTAATTTGAATTTGCACCCCAATTTATTGTCCACATTGGACTTTCCACCTCATTTTTAGAAATCTTTGTTTTTGCACTCCAGCCTCATATGAAAATACAAAAATGCCTCTTCATTAACAATTCTGTTGGCCTTTAACATATTCCTGATCGAGGGCATTTTTTGTGTTTTCATACTGAGTTGGAGTGCAAAAACAAAGTTTTTTTAAAAATGGGGTACAGTCTAATTTGGATAATGAAATGGGGTGCAAACTCAAATTACCACTAAAATTATAAGAAGGGGGTAGAATAGGAAGAAAACATATATTACTCTTATTTTGGGAATAAAAAGATTAAAGTTCTATTGTTGCATTTAGGGCTACTTTTAGTCCCACTTAGGGCTAATAGCCGTTTTATATAGCTCGCTCCTAGGTGTTTCAGTGAGCGTATAAACCGCTAGTGACGTGTACGCGATAGGCGTGTACACGAAGAATAATCCTATAAATGAGAATAATTCCTATTGTACAAACTCAAACCCGTGCACTATGTGTACACGCCCCTTTTCGTCTGTGCGGAGACATTTTTTTTTAAGTGAAACGTCTGTGGCACAGACAAAGTGTTTTGTCTGTGGAACAAACAATTTATTGACAAATTGTTTTTTCTGTGGCACAAACAATTTATTTTGTCTTTATAATTGACAATTTGCTTCACAAAAATGAAAAAAACAAATATGCGCATAAACAAAACCAGGTGTGCACCGAGCATGTAAGAGTTCGTTGTCTACACGGAGCAAAGTTTTAAACTCTGTTTGATAACATTGAAAATTGACTGAATCGGCTTCGTGGGCTTAGATCAATTGGAATATTTTAATTGGCTAAATATGTTGAATTGTGGAAAAACTATATTAAAAAATGTTTTCTTAATAAAATAAAGAAACAATTATATGAAAATGGCTTACGAAAAGTTACGCATTTGGAAAGTCTTGCATGGATATGTATGTACGAGGAACGGTTATTTCAATTCAATCTTGCACAGAAAATTTAACAGAAATTGCATAAAATAGGATAAAAACATAGGCAAAGTTCTAAAAATAATTAAAATTATGAATGTTTTATTCATAAAATAGAAAATTACATGATAAACAAATTCTCTAGATAGGAGTGCACGAGTAGTATGTTGAGAAAAAACAATGTAACTCCTATTTTGAGAAAAGGAAATTTACATTATTTTAGTACTATTCAGAAGGTTTTCTCAAAATTCAAATTGTACACAATACAGAAACACATGAAGTGAATTATAATGATCATGATATAAGGGTTAATAATGTGTATTGTTAATCATTGAAGAGAGGTTAGAGAGTGTATGGTAGCATATGTGAAATGATTTTATATTTGAAATGTTGAATGTAAAAAAAATTGTCATCTGATTAGATTATTTGTTGTTGCTTAAGATTTTAATTAAATCATTTCATATTGTACTATGTAACATATTTCACAGAGGTTAGAGGATTGTATAATACTTTTCCTGTTTTTTTGTAAAGCATTATAACGACCTTAGATGTACTTTAAAACTAAATATTAATGTATTTGTATTTTATATATAATGGGATTGTAACTCTAAATTCTGAGAGCAATCATTCAACTTATAATGTTTTACTGTGAGAGCAATCATTCAACTTATAATGTTTTACTGTGTAAACCAGGAAATGATGGATGGACCTTATCACATAAGAAGATGAAATAATTCTCGTGTTCGGGCTGATTTACTTACTTGAAATATAATATTATCGTGTTTAAAAATAAACTATAATTCTAGTTTGTTATTACATACTTCAATACAATTTTATTTAATAATATGCTTTTATATATCTCACTTTTATCCGATAAGTTTTATGACATAATGTGTAACATTCGACATGATTCAAGTTTCGATGAACAATTCAATTTGTTGTTATCACACTGAATAGAATTTAATTGAGTATATCCTATCGAAGATGAATCATATCTAATTTATTTTTAATTTGATATAATTGTAAAACATAGAAAATTAGAAATTGAAGTAGATTAAATAAGAAAAAAAAGTCTGTTTACAAAAATGTGATCTCTTAAATATGATGACTATAGTGATAACTAAAGCCATAGTCATTTATGTTTAACTTTTACACTTAAGTGTCACAACATTATACTCCGTATTATAGTAACTATTAGTAACATTTTTGTAAATACATTTTATTTCAATAATATATATTTTTGAAAAAACTTCATTAAGAAAATTCAATGTTCTAAAAAGGCAATGCGCGGGTGCCTAACTGGGGATTAGTCGGAAACATAAATTATATTTTTATCGATATTTTTGCTTAAATATGATAAGTGATATTGTGTTTGTGAGTGCCTATACACACACATATTAACATACATGAATGATAGAATTGTTGCATTCAAGAAGATATGAATATTTTAACTAATCACATTACTAAGTATTATCTTAATTTACTAGCAACTTTCTTCATATATATAATTAAAGGTCCATATATGTCTTAAGGGTAGAAGAAAAAAAACAGTTTCGACAAATCTATCTAGACGCCTAAGCATTTGATTAGGCACTCTAGGCGAACAAGTAAGCGCCTTAGGCCGTCAACTAATTCACTTAGGCACCAAACCAATTAATCGAGATGTCTAGACTAAAATCAAGGCGTCAAACCATCGCATAACGCTTAGGCTGGGATTAATCGAGCGCCATAACGATCTTTAGAATAATAAGTAAATCTAATAAAACCTTAACATATTTAGATTTTAAGAAAATACAAATTTAAAGCAAGTAGTAGACCTAATAAGGACCTAAACCAAACTAAGTTAAATTTGGTCTTCATTCCTGAACTCAATTCAAACGGAAACAAATTAAAAAACAGAGAAAATCAAACTCGAACTAACCACCTTTAAGTGTTAGGATTGGATATAAGAAATAAATAATACACATTTCGTCTCGCTAAAATAGTTTCAACTTTCTCAGTAACGGTAAGATAGTCTAATATCAAATTTGGCAATGTTTATGTGATTGTAAATTACTTATACGACATTTTTTGCTTGTTTAATTCATTATCAATTACGCAAACTGACTTTTATTTACGGTGGCACTATTTATAGATAAGTAATTAATTAACTTTAATGTCAAATGAGTTTGAATTGGATGATCGAGATTGTGATAACACGTAAGTAATTAATTAACTTTATTACCAAATGAGTAAGAATTTTATAAGACGGTGCTATTTTTAGCAAAAAAAATACAAATTCTACCGGATATATTTTTTTGTTCACTGAGGTTATCTTATCTACCAAGTACCAACTTGCTATTTCCTCCCGCTTTCATACGACGTCGTTTATGAGTTCCCATTTCATAACCCGCCCAAAAGCTTCAAAAGTCAGAGTCCCTATAAATACCGTTGAATACGCGCATCTCCTGTGTCTATGAGTTTGCATGTAATAGCGGAGTAAACAAGTAGAGAATTATCCTGAATGGGGCCCTGCTTATCCCGGAGTGAGACGGCGAATCGTCGGCGGCCGAAACCGAACCCGTTCCGTTCGACATCGGTCGCGGGAGGAAGAAATCCGTCGACTAGGAGGCAGGACGTCGTGTTTCAGGACCACGAGCTCGCCGCCGCTGCGGTGGCAATCCTGTGCCAACGGAAGTTGCAGAACGGAGACGGCATCGGAGATGGCGCGACCAGCTCTGATTGTGCTGCATTGGCTTCCACTCTTCAGCTATTGAGATCGAGGACTAGGAGGAATCATCAGCCATTCCTGCCGTCTCCTCGGAGTTTGAGCTCCGCGGTTCGATCCCCTGATCTATTGACTCCGTCTCAACAACTCAGTAGTGAGGTCGTGCCTTCTCTGTCTTAATCTAATTGCCTAATTGGATTTGAAATTTAATTTTAGCCAATAATTTCATCATTTGGTATTAGAAATATAGAAATACGGAGTATATTAGAGATATTTAAATTTAAAGATCTACATCCCTAAGTAATGTTTGAAAATGATCTGAAATTTTCACGTTCTCCTTTCTTAATCTAATGCTCAGTTTTTTGTATCCTCTGCAATTCAGCTGGATGTTTGTGTTGATGGTTTGGAGGCGAGCCATTTTGTTCTCGTTCACGGTGGTGGTTTTGGGGCTTGGTGCTGGTATAAAACGATTTCACTTTTGGAAGTTGCTGGATTTAGAGTTACCGCACTAGATTTAAGTGGGGCTGGAGTTCATTCCTTTGACACAAATAGTGTTACAAGTCTCTCTCAGTATGTCAAGCCACTTACAGATTTTCTCAATCAACTAGCTGATGGAGAAAAGGTTAATTCTTACTCCGTATTACAGTTTTGCTTTTTGACCACTGATTTCTAATTCTGGATGCATGTTTTAAACTTTGATCTTCCCTGTTTCTTCTCATTTGTTCTCGTCTCGATTTGGCATGTGGCAATTGAAGGAGTAGTACGCAACATCTTAGGACATATGGCTTTCTCAATTGTCATGATGTGATAATGAAGCATAAGAACATTAGTATAATTATATTCTTCCTCCATTCCCATAAGTAATTGTCTCATTTCTAAAGCTTTTGTGTCCCAAAATTGAGTCCTGCTTGACCAAATGAAGATTAATTTAAAAAAAAAATCCGTGGTAGAGTAACAGATAAGTTTAGTTTGATAAATTTGGAAGCAGCAAAAAAGGTTACAAAATAAAGGTGTCATTTATGACTTACAATGGTTTATCTCTTCTCCTTATGCTTTATCTTCTTGGAATATACAGGTGATCTTGGTAGGGCATGATTCCGGTGGTGCTTGTATATCATATGCAATGGAGCTTTTCTCTTCAAAAGTCTCCCGAGCTGTTTTCATTGCTGCTGCTATGTTAACCAATGGACAGAGTATACTTGATATGTTCTCCCAAAATGTATGTCTTCTTTTTGCTTCTTACGGCAGGAAAATATTTTTATGAATTTTTTGAGTAGATGCTTTATTAACTGGAAGTCTGTTTCTTTGTAATTGACTAATTGTTGGCTGAAGTTATGTATATATATATAACTGTTTCATGTTTTTGCCTAGAATGTGTGGCCTTTACAATAACTAGTACTATTATATTTACTTTAGCAGGCAAAGGAAAATGATCTGATGATGCAAGCTCAAAGATTCATTTATGGTGATGACAAGAATGATAAACCCACTGCCATTGACCTGGACAAATCATTCTTGAGGGACTTGTTATTTAACCAGAGTCCTGCTAAGGTATGTTCTGTTGTTTTAACTTCTTATTGGATATTTTGCTGCGTCTGATCTACTCTCATTAACATGATACGGTTGGAAGTGATTACATCCAAAATGGAAATTTTCGGGGCCGTTTGGTATGGGTTATTTTGCTGAGTAGCCGAATCTGCTAAATTTTCTAAAAAATAATCCATTTGGTAAATTACTTTTTAGAAATTAAGTGAAATGCTGTTTGGAAAAGGTTATTTAACTTAAAGACTAATTCTTGTGGTCTTCTTTGAAAGGAAAAGATTTTTGGTAATGTTCATTTGAGCCAAATCGGCAAGTCAAAAACTAGTTGTTTTTGTTAGTCTTATTATGCTGCATATTCACCAGATAAATAGAATAAGACAAATCATGCCACCAAACGCAGCATAAGCTAAATGCTGCTTAGAGCTCGTTTAGTGTCCAAATTTGGATTATTCTGATGCTCATCATTATAATGAAAAAATGAAAATAAGCAGCAGTAAGATATTTTGACTTATAAATTAGTTGAAATGGCTTACTCTTTTTTGGTTGAAATGGTTTCTTTAAATGCTTTTCTTTCAGAGAATTCAATTAATCCATCCATACCAACTGAATATGCCGTACCTAACAAGCTCTTGTCGAGTTGTGAAAGTATTATAGTGCTTTTCAGTTTTAGTGTTCTAGAAATGGGGTTGTCTGTCTAAGAATCTTACCATGTTACTTTTCTATATTCATAATATGTTCAGGATGTTTCTTTAGCATCAGTGTCGATGCGGCCAATTCCCTTCTCCCCAATTCTGGAGAAGCTTACATTATCAGATGCTAAGTATGGCTCTATTAAAAGATTTTACATTGAAACTCCAGAGGATAATGCTATCCCCATTGCTCTACAGCAGACCATGATTGACCAAAGCCCTCCAGAAAAAGTTTATCATCTTAAAGGCGCAGATCACTCGCCATTTTTCTCCAAGCCTCAATCCCTTCACAAAATATTGGTAGAAGTCTCAAGAATCCCTTCAAAAACATAATGAGAGTTCAATGTGAGTGTTAAGGTTCTCTTAGAAGTGTTAGAACCCTAATGAACGCCTTCAGATTTCTGTAATATTGTTTTCGGTTGGAAAAGAGGATGAAAAGAGTATAGAGAGAAGTGAGGTGGAAAGGAAAAACACAAATTTTGTATACACTGGAAATTTTGTGTATTTTCATTTTGAGTCTAGCCTTCACCAGATGAAAGAATTTGTGTGAATTTTCAAGTCAAATTTCATTTTGACCATTTTTTTCATGAAGTATTGTTTCAAAGTGGGGATGGACTGGGTCCGAGCACTCTGACCCGGGACCGGTAATGTTTGGATCGGTTCGAGACCGGTTTTACGTACTGGTACAAGCCCGGTACGTACCCGAACCAGCGTACAAACGGGACGGGCTCGGGCCTGATTTTTTGAGAACGGACTAGCCGATCCTGGGCCTGGTTCCAGTCCCAATGGATATATTGTTATTTTTTATTTTAATTAGAGGGTGGGTACCAACCTGGGACTAGTATTGTTAGGGCCCGGACCGGAACCAGTACCGGACCAGTAGCAGGCTTCAATTATTTAGAACTGGCACCGGCCGGGCCTAGGACCGGGATTGACCTGGACCGGCCCGACTCCATGCCTATTTCAAAGTAGTCTTGATCAATTTGTTTTAATTTGTATTTCGATTAATAATCTCTTACTATTTTGATGAATGTGCATTTTTCTCTTACATATTTACAATTTTGATGAATGCGTATTTAGGATGAGGAATTGAGGATATTTTGATTTGGACTTATTTCAGTCTCAGATTAAATTAGACCTAACTAGACCAATTCAGGTCAAATTAGATTAGGATTCGATAGTTGTAAAATACACAAAGATCAGACATTTATCAGTCAGACTGAATCAGATCACAAAATTTCAGTTCAAAAAACATTTTTATTACTAATTGGCAAACATTCAAACATGTACGTGGAAGATCCTGCAAGTAGTACTGAGATATTTATTTCGAGATGTAAGTATTATTGACTGAACTTTAGCTACGTACGATATGTATTAGGGGTGGGTTCGGTTCTTGCGGTTCGGTTTTGACCTAAAACCAAATATAGAATCAAAGTAAAAAGTTCGGTTCGGTTTCGGTTCGGTTTTACACTTCAAAACTTGGAACCACGGTTTGATTGGTTCGGTTTGTTTCGATTCGGTTTTGGTTTTTTCGGTTTTTTACCAAAAAATATCATTTGATTTAAAATTGATATAATACTTTAAGGGATCAAACATATATTACATAAAGAATGCAAGCACACTACAACAAATAAAATAAAAATGAAAATAAATAAATATGTCATGAATTATATGAGTATGTGAGAGAGATAAAAGTGTGTATATATATATATTTACATTGTTTGTGACTAGTTCAAAAAAAGTTCATGAGTATATACATTGTATGTGATATAGTTGAGATGAATATTTATTATTTCATCAATATGAATTCTTTAAGTTAAATAAAAATAAAAGTTAATTAATACTAATAACTAATAAAAACATATTATCAGTATAACTACATTATTACAGGCAATGAATGTGCAAATGAATTCATAAACTAAACTAAACATAACACAAACACTATTTCTCTAGTACAAGGAAACCAAAGACTATTAATGATATTAGGATTAGTTAATTAGGATTAATGCTTAACAATTGACAAATAAATTTTATATTTTAATTAGTTCGGTTTGTTCGGTTCGATTCGGTTTTGAAGGGTAAAAACCAAAACCGGACCAAACAACAACGGTTCAGTTCGGTTTTTTACATTCGGTTTCGGTTTGTTAGCGGTTCGGTTTTATTTGGCTACGGTTCGGTATGATTTGATTCGGTTTTCGGTTTTCGGTTTTACGGACCCAGCCCTAATATGTATAGATACAACATAACAAAGTGTTTAGATTAAATGATGGTGGATTTTTGTCATTTTAACTTTACGTGATATTTGTCCACGTTTACAAATATTTTGCAAATCTAATGTCATTTATGTGTCGCTAAACGATATGAATATTTTCAAGCTACATTACATGAAATATAAATTTTAATATTGATAGTATGTGTAAAATATCACTATTAGTAGCAACGAAAAAGTATGCGACACCGAATTGACCAGTATTCATCATCAATTGCGCACTTGGTAGCGGAGTCTTTAAATGTTTTTCCATCCTTGCAAGAGTTGCAGGCTTTGCTTTCACATGTTACAATTATTTTAAATAACATTAATTAAAATAAGTGAATACCTATGATATAACTTTTTTTTTGGTAAACACTACTTAACATAAGAAAAATGATAGTTATAATAATGAACACCTAAATTTAAGATTAATAAAATATGGTGTGTAGGGAAAAGATCAGGTGAGAGGAACCCTTAAAATGAGAAGTGAGAAGTAATCCCTGCCGTTAGATTTGCATCTGATCTTACAATGCAGTATACTTATAGACTAAATATAGGAACTTATAACTAATCAATCATAACTTATAAAGCTCTCCATAATAATTACGAAAATGCCGCCGCGTCAAATTTTTTATCCAGGTTTCCGTAATTTTTTTCCGCGCTGACATTTTTGTAATTATTTTTGAGGGGTCTATAAGTTTTGATTTATTGGTTAAAAGCATTGTTCTAAAACTCGCTAGGCGCTAGTCGGGCGGTTGAGGGGCGCCTAGCGCCTAGTCGGCCGACTAGCCCGATTTTTTGGCCGACTAGGCCGATTCGGCCTCTACGGTTAGGGCCGACTAGGCCGCCTAGGCCGATTAATCAGTCCGCCTAGGCCGATTTTTAGAACAATGGTTAAAAGTCCATTCATTTAGTCTATAAGTTTAACTTCGCAGTTCTTAGCCTAAGAGCATTTCTCATATGATCCGCTCCCTATACATATGTGTGTAAAATAAAAAACTATGGCTAAAACAAGTTACGTAGTATAAATTTCTTTAAATATTTCAATTCTTGTTGATGTGTGTGAATTTTAAAAATAGGTTAAATTTTAGAATAGCTTATGGGATTTGAAACATATTGGTTTGAAATTTTATTAATAACTTTAACATTTACTTTTCAGGTTAAAACTATTAAGAGCCTGTTTGGTAACTAATACGGAGTATTTTTTAACTTGCCAGTCTTAGGATGTTTTTACTTGGACTGTAATTTGTCCCAGACCAGACCAAACCAGACCAGTCCAGACCAGACCAGACCAGTTCAGACCAGACCAGACCAGACTTGGATAGTTATAAAAATACAAAGAAACCAGACCTTACCAGACCAGACCAGTTCAGACCAGACCAGACCAGATCAGACCAGACCAGACCAGCAAATTACAGTCCAAGTAAAAACATCCTTATTATCAGCCATGTATGTTTATGAAACACACAAATTTTATTCTGCGCATTAAATATGTGAGTTTTAAGTTACTTCTGTAATTTAATTGACTTAAGTTACTATAAAAGATCATTATAGCTATTTTTCATAAGGTTTTTTTATTTAACATTAAAATATTTTTAAATATATCATATTTCGCAAAACAACAATGGGAAAATAGAAACTAATAATCCAACATTTTAACAGTCTTCTTACAATAGTCTCACATTTTCGTTATTCAAGAATAATTCAACCCTTGCACCTCATTTTCATTCGTCGGTCCATGACCGGTTAATGACCTGCTATTCTAAGTTATTTCTTTATCTTTGCAAAATATTATCTTTATGAAAGGTGAAATTTATGGTATAATGGTTTGTAAAGATAAGAAATAACTTGGAATAACAAGTCATCAACTTGGAATAACTTGTAAGACGGTCACTAAAAAATTGGATAATTAATTTCCATTTTCCCAACAACAAATTACTTAAGTCGACATAGCCGACTTATTTAAAGACTTATTTACTTAGCTAGAGTTTCATCTGTTTCAATAAATTCAACTCATTTAATCAATCAATATGAATGTTACTAAATAAGTTTGATGGATACAAAAATAATAAAGTAAAGATTATGTGCTTAAATTATTAAAGACAGTGACATAAACAAAAAAAGGAGTTTTTTTTCGATTTAATGTTAATTAAATAATTGTTTACGAAAATAATGCTGGAAAAAAACTTATTACCGATCTACTGCTGGCCCAAACCATGGTCAGGGGTAAGTCGCCCAACGGTTGGGCGACTTATAAGTCGCCAAACGGTTGGGCGACTTATAAGTCGCCAAACCGTTTGGCGACTTACCCCTGAAATATGGTTGAAGGCGACCAGCTACTGCCAGCCACGCACGATCGTGCGTACGATGGTACGCACGATCGTGCCTAGGTCCGAAAACAGCATTTCCGCAGTTTTTTCGCTCCACTTCAACCCGGACTCATCTGTTTGGTTTAAATAAAGTCTCTTTTCTCCTGTTTAAGTGTTACGAGCCAGATACAACACATTATAAAACATACAACACACGTCTTCACAATCACATACATAACACCTACTCTCATCAACATAAAAAACACCTTTAAAATACCCTTTACAAATCAAATACAAAAACTTACATTCATAACTGGTATAACACAGTACAATCATCCAAGATTCATAACAAGTAATCAGCTAATATTCATACTCGAACACATCAAATACGTCAAATATTGTAAAGTGTTCCTACAACATCTACTGCATAATAAAAACTACAATACTATAGACAAACTACAAGTTCCCATCATCAGCTTCGTCATGGAGATGTTGCTGCTCATGTCTACGCCTACGCCGTTGTCGTGGTTGAAGAATCACTCTCTCATGTTGCGTCTGGGATGATGAAGCCGCCGCTGCACTAGACGTGGATGGCATCTCCTGAGATGAGGGCATGTGTATAAGATGGCCGTAGTCGACTCGTCCCAACACATCTGAACACAAGGAGGCAATGCCTGTCAGAGCCTGTCCATACATCTCGACATCATGACTATCAGTCACTATGGTAGTAGCCCGCTGATGTATGCGCTGCAAAGCTCGTGTCTGAAATATGAAACACAATTACAGTTACATAAAAATACATACAAATATTAATTAAATAAAATGGCTTACTTTACTAATTACTAATATACTCACCGTAAGATGCAAAGCCAAGGAGCTAGGCTGATAATGATGAGTAGGGAGTCTGAACGAAGGAGACACAAACAAACGAGTGATGCTGTAATACCATCCCATATAGTCTCCTGAAACAGATGGGACAAATGTCGGTGTCCCAGCCACAACTAGCTCAGCTCGCCTCTCCCACATAGTGACGTATCTGACATGTCTGAGTGCCCAATCCTCTGTATGCTTCCCACGCCTATCCAGCCTATGCAGCTCAACATAAGTGTCGATAGGCCGTGGAAAACTGTTGACCGACCTCAAACTCACCATCGGGGGTAAACCTTTTCTCACCTGATCCACTCATCCACGCATCAGTAAAGCCTTCAGGGAGATCATACATTGTAGTAAAGTGGCTAGACGGGGCAGTTGCCGTGACAGTATGACCATCATCTTCATCAGATTCTGTCATGTCATCATCATTAATGTTCTCGTCAGCATCATCATCACTTCCCTGCCCATCCACAAATGATGCACCGTTGTGCACATACCTACCATCTTCCTGTATAACCATGTCCAGTACAGGAGCCTTTGAGGAGTTCCCTGCATTCACCCCTGCATTGACATCATGCGTAGATACGACAGCATTTGATGTTGATTGAGTACCATAAGCGTCACATGATTCCTCAATGTATATCTCAAGCGTCGACATATCCTCCATCTGAGTTATGCCCCACATATTTGTTATAGCTAGCTCATCAATGAGGGGCATAAGCATGTACTTTCCCCCGTTCATGGGAAATTTCATTTTCAACCGCAAAGAACGGCTAGGATGAATCATTGTGGCTGCATGTATTTTTTGAAGAATCTCCAGCATGCATGCGCCACGAGAAACCATGACAAAGCTGGTTCTACCACCTTCAATGCATATTTGCCCAGCATTCTCATAATAGTTCCCTCCCCAATGACATATGATTGGGAAACTTGAGAAATCCATATTCTAATAAAAATACATGTCCAATTTTCATTAGTACACATTAATATACACACTTTATACACATTCAAATTTTAAATAGAAAACCCTACCTAAATTGTAATATACCCAAATGACAAAATTCACAATCAATTCACATTTCAATATCAAAATACCCAAATGTTGATATCTATATTGAAGTCTACATTACAATACCCAAATTTAGCAACATTCAAATCTACCCAAATCTCAAAATACACAATTAAATTTACAAACAATTTCATATCAAAAAATCACATTACACAACAAATTTAAATATGTAAATTTAAACTTACATATTCACATTACACAACACATCAATTCACAAATGAATTCCTAATATACAAAATCGAATTTTCAATATTCAAAACCCTAACTTGAAAAATGAGATAAATTGGAGAGATTTACTTACCTAGAGTGTTGAAGAAGATGGAGATGAAAGATTATTGCCAAGATGGAGAAGACCTCGCCGTCACCGGAGCACGAGATTCGCCGGAGATGGAGCTGCACCCGTCGTCTTCCTCGCCCGTGTTCAGTTCGCCAGAGGATGTTTTGGATTTCTTCTGCGTTCTGTTCTGTGGCGTGGCCTTACCCGATAATTTTACTTAAGGATAAGTCGCCAAACCGTTTGGCGACTTATAAGTCGCCCAACGGTTGGGCGACTTATAAGTCGCCAAACGGTTTGGCGACTTACCCCTACCATGGTTAATCGGGCAGTATATTGGTAAATAGTTTTAACCAAACCCTATTTTCGTAATTAAATATTTAATTAACATTAATACGGAAAAAAACTCCCAAAAAAGAATGTTGATAAATTATTAAAGAAAACGAAGGAAATACAATTTAAAATCAACCAAATTAAATGATTTAAAATTATTGGCCCAAGTGTTTGCTTCAGTCCAATTAGAAAATGACCTGCCCGGATCTGGAATAACCTAAATCTACTTCCGCTTGTATTTATACCGTTTCTCTTCAGTGTACCATTTGATCGGATCTACCATCTCTCTCTACCCCTCATCTCAATTCATCCGATCTACCAGTTCTCTCCGATTTCCGGCTCCTCTGCCGTCGGACGCAGTCTACGCCACGCCGTTCGTCTAACATCCCGAGGTTAGTCGATTATTACTAACTCGCCTTTTATTTTATCGCATCTTGTTTTGTTTGTTCTTACATTTCTCGTTATATTTATCAGCAGTAATAGACCAAGCTTAGATGGTGTTGTTGAGTTTCGTACTTGATCTGTTTATTCTGTTAAACGATGAATAATTTTCTAAATTAAGGAGTTGTCGTAAGCTGTAATTTAATGGCCAGTGTCTCCTTAGTACGGAGAAGAGCCTAAATTCTGCAGATTAACTGTTAGGACATGTCACATCATCCCGTGATGATGTAATGATGACGTATTGGATATAGTCAGATAAGTTTTTGAGAAGATCCTGGTGCGACTTGATCCGATTCCGGGCCCAGATTTTAGAAAACTAGAATAGATCTCAGATGTTGATCATTTTCATCCTATATGGCCACATAGGTCCGCAATGGAAGATTAATTGGTTTACATTGTTATTTGAATTGGAGATGACCACATGAGTCTAGAATAGAAGACTAATCTTAGTCATGAATTATTGAATGACCAACTGACCAAGGTAAAAAAACTGGATACCTCTAGTGATAATATTTTAATAACTGTAGAAGATATGGGCCCGTTGTATGAATTGATTATTGGGGGTTTGAATAAATTTTCAATCATTGGTTTACTTTACTTGTGATGCGTCTGCTTTGAAGAATTATTCAAGAATTACTGAATAATTCCTGAATACTTGGCCTTTCCAAATCTCCAGATCTATCTTGCAAATTTGACACTTTGCTACTTGTTCAATATCGCAGTTTGTTCTTTACTTTTAATGACCTAATAATTTGATACGGAGTATTATGTTTACTACTCCGTATATGTTTATTAAGAGAAGTGTTTGGATTCATTGCAGTAGCAGGCAGAGGATAGTGTAAAGAGAAAGCATCAAATAGTAGAGGATGGGGCGTGGAGTTAGTGCTGGTGGTGGGCAGAGTTCTTTGGGGTACCTGTTTGGTGGAGATGCGGCTCCTACCAATAATAGAACTACTCCAGCAGCAGCAGCAGCAGTTCAGAAAAGCACCCCTCCTGCAGAAAAGGTGGTTTCCACTACACCACCCTCTGCTGCTGTGGACAATAGCAAAGTTCCTGCTGGCATTCACAGCTCCAACGCAAACAATTATGTTCGTGCTGATGGTCAGAACTGTGGCAACTTCATTACGGTAAGCCATTAGTATCTTATTGTTGGTTTAAGTGTTTAATTGTATCTAAGGTCCATGCTGCACCTGGGGATGAGTCTAATGAGTGTGTTTTAATGATCTTGATTATGATTGCAGGATAGGCCATCAACCAAGGTCCATGCTGCACCTGGTGGTGGCTCTTCACTTGGTTATCTATTTGGTGGTCCAGAGAAAAAGAATTGAACCACTTAAAAGTGTTTGGTTTGGGAGTCGCTCTCTCTCTCTACCTGTCAAGAATATAAATGTTCTAAAATGTCTGATGTCTGAACTTGATATTAAATGTAATACTTTGGTTCACTTGGATTTGTATTTGATGCATTTTGTAATTGATTTCTAAGTGTGATGATAAAATGTTATTACAATGATGAACTTGTTCCTTTGCAATTATCCACTTTTGTGTTCAGATTCTGAATGGTTAACACATGTTTGGACGACGCAACCTTTGTCACTGTGCTTTGATATGATGAAGAGATTATTTATGTTTGGATGAATAGGTAGGGTGAACCAAGTCGTTTCTGGATTGCTGGCTTGCTCCCATTCCAATGCAATTTGTTTTTCCCATTTAATGTATTAGTATTATTGCATCCTTAATGGATTGCCACCTTGATAAAATAAACATTGGGATAAAAATAACTTCTCCAATAGAACTGCCTATTTATTAGTTGGAATTGAAATTATCTCCCTGTCAAATGCCCTGTCCAGTCTCAGCCCTCAGCACTGTTAAACAGATGCCTCAGTATAATACATACTGAGCTTTTTCTATGATGGTATAATACAATACATACTGGCATGTTCTTCAGCAACATAGAGAAGCCATAGTTTCGCATCCTCAAACTTGAAGCATTCAAGTTATGATTTAACTTTCCGTTTTCAATTTGATAAATGATACAAAAAGGCTACAAGGTATGAAACTATGAACTAAATTCATGGTAACTTCTAACTTCAATGCAATCTACTTATCTACCTCAACCAGAATATCTGCAAACCTTTACAATTTTGAAGAAGCTTTTTCAGAGCATTGGTTCCAAATTCATTCTTCTATCATTTGTTTTGCCTCTGATTTTTCCTGCCTTAATCCATGTGTTGCTTCTGATTTTATCTATTATTGACTATGCTAGGAGATGAAATTACCGATCTCTTTCAAATTGTGCCTTTTGGAGTAGAAAAGTAGATGAAAGATTTCTTAGAAATGGAAAGCAGAAGAATTCATCTATTATTCATTGAAGAAGAAGATACAGATCATCCTTTCTTTTATACAAAGTCTTAGAGTATTAACCGAGTAACAAACTCTAACAAACTGAATAAAAGAAAATGAAAATACATTTTGACTGTTGACCAGTTTGACTATGACTATATTATCCTAATACCCCCTCTCAAGATGGACTATGAATATTCATAAGTCCAAGCTTGGATAGATTCTCTTGAAATGTAGCAGGATATAAGGCTTTTGTAAACAAATCAGCTAGTTGAGACTTTGATGGAACATGAGACAGCAGTATCAATCCTTCTTGAATCTTGGTGCGTATGAGATGACAATCAACCTCTATGTGTTTTGTTCTTTCATGAAAAGAGGGATTCTTAGCTAGTTGAATAGCAGATTGATTGTCTGAGAATGTGCAGTAAGGAGTAGAGATTGTCAAGTTTAGATCATCACAGAGATATTTAATCCACTGTAGTTCACAAACAAGAGAGGCTAGAGCTCTATATTCAGCCTCAGTGGAACTTCTTGACACTGTTGTTTGCTTTTTGGCTTTCCATGAAATCAATGATGTCCCAATAAAAACGCAGTAACCGGTTATAGATTTCCTGCTATCAGGACAAGTTGCCCAATCAGAATCTGAAAAAGCTTGTATTTTAAGATCATTGTTTGCTGCATAATACAAACCAAGTCCTGGAGACCCTTTTAAGTATCTAAGAATACGTAAGGCAGCTTGCAGGTGTGGAGTTCTTGGGCTGGAAACAAACTGACTAATCTGTTGTACTGCAAATGCTATGTCGGGTCTAGTATTGGTCAAATACAGAAGTCTTCCAATTAATCTTCTAAAGGAGGTAGGATCTGAAAGTAATTCTCCATCATCTGCACTCAGTTTGACAGAAGCATTTGAAGGGGAAGAAGCTGGTTTGCATCCTGTCAACCCAAATTCAGAAATAATTTCCAAGCAGTATTTTCTCTGATTGAGAATTAATCCAGCTTTGGACCTAGCAACTTCAAAACCTAGGAAGAACTTTAAATCTCCAAGATCTTTAATATGAAATTGGTTATGAAGATGTGTTTTAACCATGTTTATTTCTTCCAAATTATTCCCAGTAAGAACAACATCATCCACATAAACCAATAAGGCAGTAAAAGATAAATCAGATTTCTTGATGAATAAAGAATAATCTGAAATACTTTGAGTATATCCAAGCTGAATGAGTGAAGAAGTAAGCTTCTGATTCCATTGTCTGCTAGCCTGTTTTAAGTCGTAAAGGGACTTTTGTAGTTTACAAACTAAACCTGATTTGGGAGGTAGAAAACCAGGAGGTGGCTTCATATATACCTCCTCATTGAGGTCACCATGTAAAAAAGCATTATCTACATCTAGTTGTTGGAGATGCCAATTCTTAGATACAGCAATGGATAAAAGAAATCTGACTGTAGTAATCTTAGCCACTGGAGAGAAAGTTTCAAAGAAATCAACCCCTTCTGTTTGTGTGTATCCTTGAGCCACCAATCTAGCTTTATATCTCTCTATACTACCATCTGCCTTGTGTTTGACTTTATAAACCCACCTACTACCTACAACAGGCTTTCCTGGAGGTGGTGAAACCAATGACCAGGTCTGATTTGCTTCTAAGGCTTCAATTTCTGTTATCATAGCCCTTTTCCAACAATCCGATTTCATAGCTTCTTTGAAAGATTTAGGTTCAGAAATGGCAGAAATGGATAGACAAAAGGAAGTATGTTTGGAAGAACACTTAGAGTAAGAAAGATATGAATGCAAGGGATAGGGTGATGATGTTGAAATATTTCCACAGTAATAGTCAGACAAATATGAAGGTGGTTTAATATTTCTTGTTGATGTCCTCTTGGGAATTCCAGTATCTGATGAGTTTTGATCAGCTGTTTCAGTTTCATGGATAGTGGAAGAAGATGGTTGATTGACAGAGGTAAAGTATTGATGAAAATCCAGACTTTGATTAGAAAAGTCAGTGTCAATTAAAGAATCAAAGTTTGAATAAGAAACTGGAGACTGAGTGTAGTCATCAATCTGATTTTGGTCTAGAGCAAAAGGAAAAGTTGTTTCATAAAAAATAACATTTCTAGACACAAGAACAGAATGAGAATGAAGATTGAAAAGCACGAAACCTTTGGTTCCAGCTTTGTATCCAAGAAAAATACATTTGGAAGCTCTTTTATCAAACTTAGTTCTGCCAGCATTCAGAGTATTAGCAAATGCCAGACAACCAAAGGTTTTCAGATTAGAGAAATCTGGCAAGTTTCCAAATACCATCTCATATGGAGATTTATTTTGTAAGAAGGGTGTTGGTAATCTATTTATGATGTAAACAGAGTGTCTTATGGCATGAGCCCAGAAATATAGGGGAAGTTTAGATTGAAAAAGGAGACCTCTGGCAATGTTTAAGATGTGTTGATGTTTTCTTTCAACAATGCCATTTTGCTGAGGAGTTTCAGGACAGGAAGTTTCATGAAAGATTCCATGTTGCTGAAAGAAATCTTTGAGAAAGAATTCTTTCCCATTGTCAGATCTTAGCTTTTTAAGTTTTGTTGAGAATTGATTTTGGATAAGAAGAATGAAACTGGGAAGAACTGTTTGAACTTCAGATTTAGTTTTGAGTAAATAAACCCAAGTAAATCTGCTAAAATCATCTACTACAGTTAAAAAGAATCTGTATCCTTCAAAGGAAGGAATACTATATGGTCCCCAAATATCAACATGGATCATCTCAAAAAATGAAATTGAAATGCTATTACTGAGAGGAAAGGAAAGCTTCTTTTGTTTAGCATAATGACAAGCATCACAAGGTTGTAAGTAAGAAGAAGAAATGTCATTATACTTAGAATTAAGAATTTTCAACACTTTATTTGAAGAATGACCAAGTCTGTTGTGCCATATCATTGAATTATTAACAGTATTTACAAGAGAATTCTCAGAAACAGTACTTTCTAAAACAGTAGAAGTACTATCTAGAAGACTAGGTGAAAGAGAATCTGAAAAGCAATTGATCTTTCCCAAGGCACTGAATTCCTTCAAATGAAAAAGTCCATTGTACATTTCAGCTACTCCAATCCTCTTGAAATTGGAGCTCTGCACAATGAAACACATGTTAGAAGAGAAGAGAAGGAAGCAAGGAATGGTTTTGAGTAACTTGGAGATAGAAATCAGATGTACAGAAAAAGTTGGAATATATAGGACATCTCTAAGGAATAGGTTTCCTAATTGAATATTGCCAGAATGGGAAGCAACAATGGAACTATTGTTAGGCAATCTAACATGAATAGGTTTGATTTCTTTAAGAGATAGAAAAGATGACTTACTGGGACAAATGTGGTCTGTAGCACCACTATCTAGAATCCAGGTGGAAGGAAGAAAATTACCTGAACTCTCATTTCTGAATTGTTCAATGTGATTGACAGAAGATGAATGAGGGCTGAATTTGGTTTGTTGAAGCAAAGCTATAATAGCATTATATTGATCCTTTGAAAGAGTGAACTGATCATTATTATCACCATTAACCAAGGAAGAATGTTGTGAGGCAGTATTTGTGTCTACTTCAGCCAAACTTGCAGATGGTTGAAAAACAGAAGAATTGTTCCTCCCACGAGTCTTATACCCAGCTGGAAAACCATGCTTATGATAGCATGTCTCAATGGTATGATTTGTCTTTCCACAGTGAGTACACAACTTGTTTCCTTTCCCAGTAAATCTGTGGTTGATATTGTTGCTCTTAAAATTGCTTTGTGTGGTTTTTGGAATGAAAGTTTGATTGACACTTTCTTTTGAGTTGATGAAAGCAACAGTGTCAGCAGGTGAAGTCAGGATAGGATCACCAACAAATTCTCTCTCATGTTGAAGAACAAGATTGAAAATCTTGATAATTGAAGGCATAGGATCAAGTATCATGAGTTGAGATCGAATTTGAGCATATGTGTCATTCAAACCACGCAAAAACCTAATTATACAATCATCTTCTCTTTCTTTCTTAAGTTTCTTAATCAAATCACAAGAGCAAGGTGTAGCACAAGTACAGAGAAGATTGCATCGATACAGTTCCAATTCCTTCCACAAAATATTTAAGCGAGTATAGTATTCGGAGACTGTTGATATACCTTGTTTGCAGGTTTGAATCTGATCTTGAAGGTCTGCAATGCGAAATTTATCAGCATGTGAGAAACGTTCCTGAATGTCTTTCCATATTTCTGAAGCTGTATCCATCCACATTACAGATTGCTTGATAGAAGGATTCATAGAGCGAATCAGCCATGACATCACCATGCGATTGCATCGTTTCCAAGCTTCTGACAAAGGATCTGAACTCGGTGGGCAAGGAAGAGTTCCGAAGATGAATTTCTCTTTGTTTTTGGATTCCAGCGCAACAACCATATCTCGTTTCCATTGATGATAGTTATTCTCACTCAAAGGTGGAGTAACAAGAACAATAGCTGGATTCTCTCCAGGATGAAGAAAGTAAGGATTCGAAGGAT